CTCTCACGGTTCCGCAAGAAGTAGCAGTACTCAGGTTATGCGTTAGAGAACTGTGTTTGTCTACCTCTTCCGGGTAAATAGGCTTATCCACCTGCCTACTTACATCATTTTCCTTATTAAATACAATGGGTGTATCTTTTAATAAGGTGGTGGCTGCATCTATGTTGTTTGTAAAAGACAAGAAATTTTGCAATATATATTTGTATGCATATTCACAAGTTCAATTAATAAAAAATATGTAATCAATACAGATTGGATCAGATGAGAAACTATATAACAGCAATTTACAATCCATAAATGCAGTGAAGTTTCTTCCTTAAATGCTACAACATGCATTTAGAGAAAAATAATATATAGTTATCGGATGCGAAGCAGCCAATAATATAGAGTTATTTGACAGGCACAGAACAATTTAATTGAAAAAATATATGAAACAAAAAAAATTATGAACATATGTTAGCTTTTAAATAATAGAGGTCTTATAATTGGTTTTATGCACATGGGAATATTTCGGAGTTTCGGAATATTTTTGGAACCTCATACCGTATAGACTCGGAATAACGCGCAGGGACATTATTTCAAATTTCGGCCCGAATTAAAAATATCTCATTAAAAAACTATTAATAATTTAACGAAATAGAAAGATTAATTTAGGTCGAAATTCGAAATTACACCCCTGCGCGTTATTCCGAGTCTATACGGTAATTCTGGATCGTATTAGCAGCAAGCTGCCATAATACGGGCCAGAATTTCATAATGCGGGCCAAAATTCCATGCGCATGAAATTAATATGCTCAACACTACTTAAAATCCGTAGCAATAAATAGAATAAAGAACTAATATATATTACTTTCCTTGGTTTAAACTTTTAAAGGTTAAATAACAACTATATTAAATTATAAAAGGAAAAAAAAATAATCTATTTTTAATAAAAAGTTAAACACTTGAATAGCGATAGTGATGCCGTAATTACGTCAATGTTTAGTTCATAATTTTCCTTAAACGTAATGTCATTGTGCCTAAATTCGTAAAGCTTATTTTTATTAAATAAATTTGTTCCCACAAAACTTATAATTTTTGAGTAGCGCAGAGAAAAAAAATGTCTACATCACAAGCAGAAGTTAAACATAATGAAGGCAAAGGACAAGATACTGGAAAATTCAAATTCACGCACGATTGGTTTAAACCGCATCTTCCTTATTGGGAAGAAACCTTATCCTGTCTTAAAAACCGAAAAATAAATGTGCTTGAAATAGGAGCTTTTGAAGGAAGATCCACTACTTGGATTTTAGAAGAATTATGTAAAGATCCAGAGTCTAAATTAATTACTGTCGATATTTTTGTAAAAATATTTCCTGATAACGATAATGAAACAACATTCCATGAAAATATTAAAAAGACTCGTAAAGAGAATCAAATCGAAATTATCAAAATTAAGTCATTTGATGCTCTTATTAATCTGAATCATAAAAAGATGATGAAATTTGACTTTATTTATATTGACGGTTCTCACGAATCTCATGATGTGTTATCCGATGCTATTTTATCATGGAATCTCTTGAAAGAAGGGGGAATCATGATTCTTGACGATTACGAGTGGGATTTTTTCGAAGAAGAGTATCTTAACCCAAGAATAGCTATTGATTCGTTTCTCAGGTGTTATCAAACACAAATAGAAATAATTTTTAAACATTATCAAGTAGCAATTAAGAAAGTTATTAAAGAAGGCACTCGAACTGTCAGAGAAGGCAAAACCATCGATTGATACGCTGTCATTTTTCTAAATATTCACAATAGCTTATTCTTTTAAGTGTCATTAATATTATTTTATGTAATTTTCTGCAATTAAATTGAAATAAATATGCACATTATAGTTTTTTTTTGATTAAATTTGATAATGATTCCTTCGATCTATTGTTGTTATGACAGTTTGTAAAAAGGTGTAACTCTGTGATTTCGTGATGATACAGTAGCGGAAAATTTCCGAGATTTTAAATTCTCTATTGATTATATTTTTCAATCAATAACATCTATTAGTTATTCGAATTCTCTAAGAATCGAAAATCTCTATAATCGGCGTTCCACGTACGTACGTCATCATTTTTCGCATATTTTAAGATCCGAGATGGCTAAAGTTAAGTTTGAAGTGGCCGGATTGGTATTACCGGTTTTTCTAGATAAGGGTAAGATCCTTATATTCAGTCATTAAGA